ACGATTTATTAATAAATTAACTATTTATAATGATTATTAACTACTTATTACTATTGGTCTATTAATTATTGATATATTAATTAAGGATGAATAATGTAACTGAGGTTATTAATGATGAATTAAAATACATCAAGTAAACACGTAAACGCAATGGTATGCAGAATCATTGAAATAGAAATCTGGCACTTTTCTATTTCGTATCACCTACTCTTGCAACTAGCAAAGTCGGGATGGTGACTTGAATAGCTATTGAGGAGTGCAGCAAATATGGCACAATAGGCACGAAGCCGCCTGGCTGGCTTAAGGAGGCTGGCCACCAGAGACAGGTAACCGGAATGATCTGCTTCGGCCAGACCAAAGCAAGCGACCAAGCGGCTGGGCAGGTCGAGGCTGGCCTGTTCGTTGTTGGTGACTGGACACTGATCGGACGACACGGAAGCGTCAGAAGAGTCTTTGAATACAGGCCTAGTGGTGGCGGCTACTGAAGTGTCAAGGTGAGCAGGTGTGGTGGGCATAGTAGACTGAGAATAGGCGAGATCAAAATGCAAGAGTTGGATAGGTGAAAAATAATAGAGAGGCTGTAGAATAGACAGAGTAACTATGGTGGTAGTGAACAACACAGGCAAGTTGGCCCAGGACGCCACAGCATCTTGGTTTTCGTATCTAATTATACTATGATTTGTATCTATTTCTAATGGTTTTATTGCACTGATAGCAAATCTGGCCACAATAAAATGAAAAAGATTCCTCATTGAATAGATTACATTGAATGTTACTGAGCCATGCAGCCAAAGAGATGGTTATACCCAGGGCTGGACAGCAGTCTCAACCTTGTCTCATCGTCTCACCTTCTCGTCAGTGCCCCAAGCAGTAGCCTAACCATGTTTATGTGAAATTCAATATACAAATTAAGCCTTCTCTACAATTCATTTTCTGCATATTCGTTACCATTCCAATTAAACGATTCGAAAGCGGTGAACATTCACAAGTACCATTGGTCTCAATTTGGTACAGCTCATGCAAACTTGTACCATACTAAGATTTACTCTCACTTCAGAATAGTTAACTCTAACAAGCCTTTCATCAAAACTGAATATTTGACAAGCAAATCATGATCACCCGCTGTGGTGATCGTGCAAATGAGAGGCCCACACAGACATGAGATCATAAGATGCTGTTTCATCAGAAATGACATTGCAAAAAAATAAGAGAAGTCTCTAAAAAGCAGCCAAAATATATATAATATCAAGTATGCTAAATGCTAAGTGTTAAACCCTATTTCATGTTGATCTCTATGCTCATGCTAACTGAATAAAGCGAATAAAGTAGGGAATGCTTATGAACCAGAAATGAAGAATGTGAGGGCATCCAACCTGTATTTGCTCGACCGACGCGGTGTTCTGTTGGGATCTAAAGGCTTCAGAAGCATCTGAAATCATATGAACATTCGCGAGTCCCGAGGATCCAGAGTGCTGATTGGCAAGTCCAGTCGAATCCGTCCCCTTTACGTCGATATTAGCAGAAAAAGAGTATTCGGACTGTGGATCACTGCTCTTTTGGAGCCTAATGAAGGTTTCCACCTGACTGACCAACAGACCAGGGTGTGCCAAATGCCAAAGCTCCCACGCCAACTGAGGCACCGCAGGGATCCATTGATGGTATGCCTGCAGGGATAAGGATGTATTTGAGGAGAATAATAACGAGGCCTACTGAATAAGGATAAAATTATTCACAACTCGAGAAGGAAAGAAATAG